TCAAGATAAATGCTGCCTTTTGTCTTATCATATTATCTGCCTGTAGGACTGAGTCAGAAGGATCCCGTTCTAATTGTCTGATGCATTAACCTCTGCCAGATTACATAGTATTACAATGTCCTCCTCTGTATGGCTGTTTGATGCCTCTGTCAGTTCAGCAAACCTGTAGGCCTTTATATGCTTCTGGATTCTGTTGTTTGCCTTCCATGTGTGAATGATGTGACTCTACAATAACACATCAGAAAACAAGACAGTTACAATCCTAATTAGGTCCTTAGGGAAATTGCACAGGTATGGTAATTCACCAGAAGGGTCTGAGACTTCACTGATTTAACCCTCTGGAGTTAAACCGTTTAAAACTCTCTGTGAGTTTTTGTCATAGAAACATTAAAAATACACCCCCAGAAACCTTGAAAGGTTTACTTTTCAATATATATATAGGTAGAAACTAAATATATTTTAAGAACTTTGTAAGGAGAATAAATAGAACAAGATCGAGTCACTGATTCAAAATGTCTTACTCGAAGCAGCGCTGACTGACCACATATTTGCAAGTAGCGATATTCATATGATAACAATACGATAATCCCGCGGTTGTTACAGGGTCACAATAATGCGTGAAAACTCCCATAAATAAGAGCACATTTCTTGGTTGTGAGGAGCCGCAACCTTTTATTTTATAATGTGAGAGTGTAAATTTTCACTGAGGAATTGCGGTAAAATACATAGCTTCAGTGCATGGATAAATTCGGCGAATTCGGGTTAGCATAATTTTGTAAATTACAAAATGTCTCTTGATTTCAAATTTTGATCGCTACTGTAAAACCTTGTGTTTATAAATATATATTGTTGGTAACTGGGTTGTTCTTTTAGCGTTTTTCACTCTACATTTTTTTTTCTAAGTTTAAGACTACAAAACAATCGTTTTATTTAACTTAAATTCCTCAAAGTGCATGTCATAAAATAGCTTAAAATAGTATGGATTAATTTGCTGGAAATAAGATTTTACTTAAAATATTAACTTTTGTAGTATAAACTTTCGTATAAATCACATGATGCAATGAGGGTACGTTTCCCAAAAGCATAGTTTCTAATTACGTTAGCGACTTACACATTTAGAACCACACAATTGAATCTACAGTACGTTGCTAATGGGAGCTTTAGGGAAATGTGCTCCCCAGTTCAGCAGTAAAACATTAATATATTTTGCGAAGTATTCTATTGTGTCGTTTAGCAAACCGAAACATGCTGTGAAAAAGAAACTAAAAAAAGACGGTTTCCGAGCACAGAGGGTTTTTATTGCAGCCTAAGAAGGGGCCACACAAATATGGAGAAACATAAGGTCTGGCGCGGGACTGTAAGGTACACATGATAAATACTTACCAGAGAACACGGAAACTGGCACAGATCGAAACATACAGGTAAACACACTTACATAAATCGAAGGTACAGCCAAAGTATTTACAACGCAAAATACAAACATGGCTATTGAACGTGGCTAGCGAGCATGCTGCGGTATGCTAATAGCGGAGCGATCTCACTGGCGCTATAATATTATTATACATACAAAACCCCTATTATATTATTATACATACAAAAAAGTGCAAAACATGTGATATGTACCTTTTCTTTCAACCAGGCAGGAACTGTTTTGAAGCTTGGCATCTTGATCAGGATGGACAATTTATTGTTCATTTACTCATTAGCCTACATTCATTTAGTCAATACTCACTTACTAGCTCAAAAGTCTTAGTTAGAAATGTTTGTAATGTGATTTTTATTTTTACAATTTCTGAGCACTGAACACAGGCTGTGTTTGAAATGTCCACTCGCCCACTATATAGTGGCACAGTAGCACTATATATGGAATCAGTCAATTTGTAGTGCTCTTCGAATTCTAAACTGTAAATTTCATTCACTAAATAATGCACCACAAAATCAGCACAAGGCACCCCAAAATGTAGGGTACAGAAACTGGGTGTCTTGGTATGCGTACTTGACTGTATTTGTGCTCTCTAGTACCTATTTCACGTCATCTTCCATTGCCGAAGACCAGTTATAATACTCAAGAACAGGGGTGTCTCTCATTCCTATGAATGCAAAGATCATATTTGTGGTCTTGGTGAGACCATGGCCAGTCATGCTAACTTGGGGTGCAATGAATCATGGCATTGATCTTGTTTGGCCAGGATGCAACCGATCTATCCTTGATATTTTAGGCGGGGCAAGAATGACATCTGAGGATTTAAATGTCTTCTGCACTTTTGTTCTTGAGTATTGGAACTGATCTTCGGCAATGGAAGATTACGCATATTGAGAAACACCCCAGAAGTACATAGGAGGGTAAATCTCCCCGGATGTCATTCTTGCCCCCAGAAATACTTTACCCAGTAATTCTCAATCTTGTTCCTGATGCCCCCCCCCCCTGCCAGAATGTTTTCATTCCATGCATATACCAGTTTTAAAAACATGGGAAATGTGCAAGTGCTACAAAGGATGACCGCAAAATTACTGTGGGTGGTTCACATATTTAATAAGCAAGAAAATTATGAACAATTTGAAAAACAAGTTTGGACAACAGGAATCCAGACAATGAATTTCACATGTACACAAAACAGTTACATTACCTTGTAAATGAAGTGGAACACAAAGACCACACTGTCAGCATGGCAGTGAGCCTGTCAGAGAACCTCAAGAAGCCTGAAAATAGAGGATTAGGAAGCAGGGGTCCCAGGCCTCAGCAGCTAAAGCCTGTCTCCAATCTCCTGATGCCATCGGGAGACTCACTCATCCAGCACTGGAACATGAGGGAAAAGGCAGGTCCCTCCTAGTGACCAGCAAGTCAGAGATGCAAAGAATGATAATACTGTTCTTATAAGATGTGAAACTTTATTAAATCTCTATGAGAGGATGTACAGTTTCTTTTCTTGCTGCAGTCATGTTTCTGGTCCCAACTGGATAAATGTCCTGGGAAAAGTATTGCGGTCTGTAATGTTGTCACAACAACTCATGCAGAAACCTCTAGTAATGTGTCCTTATTATAAGTTAAAGTCTAGTTTTTGATTTGCATTTTGTGTAAATATTAACATTTTACTACATTATTATTCATGTACCTTAAGACCTCATGTCGGACCTTACTCAACTTCAGGCCGTAAATGAGGGGATTGAGGAGAGGAGGTACAATTAGGAACTCTAACGCCAGGAAGTGGCGTAAGGCCTGTGGAAAGTCCTGGGATCCGTAACGACTGTACATTGAATCGAACAGCATGGCCACTGACACATTGATTAATGACAGTAAATGTGGAGAACATGTCTGGACGAATTTATTGCGGTTCTCTGCTGACTTCAAGCTGGACTTTATCAGTTTCATGTAAGACAAAAGAATGAATAAAACTTGTCCCGAATACATGAGCATTATTAAATACCCAATAACATTACTAACTGTATTGGGGAAACAAGAGATTTTAACAATAGCCCAATTCTCACAGTAGAGTTTCTCTATGTGTGATCCACAAAGAGTTAGTCCAGAGCTCACAATAAGCAAAAGGAACATGGAAAAAATGGGGGCGATCCATGAGAACACAGTCAGTTTAAAGACGGTCCCCCCCGTCATGACTGTGTGATACTCCAACGGCCTGCATATGGCCACAGACCTGTCATAAGACATCACTGATAATGTGGAAAAGTCACACAGGACAGCAGAGTAAATCACAAACACCTGAACGAAGCATCCTGACCGTGAGATTTCTTGGACGTCAGAGAGCAGATCATACAGGAACTTGGGGTAGAACCCCGAGGTTCCAAACAGTCCGTTGAGACAGAGGTTACAGAGAAACACGTACATGGGCTCGTGGAGCGGCTTCCTCAGGGCGACTGTGACAATTATTATCAGGTTTACAGCGATGATGACAAGGTAGTAAAGAAACGTTATGCAGAAGAAAACGTATCTGCTCTCCCTGCTGGCGTTGATCCCAGACAGAGTAAACACTGTAGAGTTGGGCATGACCTCCAGTGCCATTGTTGTCTTATGTTTCATGCAGTATATATGATCCACTGATGATTGCGGCCATCAGAATCAGGGAACCAGCCTCTGAACCTGCCCTGGGTGGGTTTACTGTCGTTCTGGGGTAACCTAACGGACAAAAACAACAAAGCAAATAACCTCAGGAGATCATAGAAAATCAGCCTCAGACCTCCACATGCAACTCTAAATGATCTGTGCCATGTGATGGAGACCAGCACCAAAACCAGGGTGTGTCAGTCTGTGGGTCCACATGCTGACACGACCATTAACAAGAAATTTTTAAATTATATATAATATATATACATTCACATATACACACACACTTTTTTCTTTTAGAAATGAAATAACAAAGATTTACAGTACATGCATATTCTCAAGTAATGCACTATACTTAGAATCGTATTCCAAGAAACATTCAGCTATTCTAAGAAACATTCAGCTGCAATATGCTGACTTATATGTTTACCAGATCCTTGTTTTACTGCTCTCACTCAGCGGCACAACAGCAGTCCTGTGTTCCAGCATTTCCACTCCAGAATGGTCCACATGGTTCCTCTGATGCACTTATTATTCTTGGTGAACACCTGCAGTAAAAATTTAAGCCAGGAATCATACTATGGCTTAGGCCTGTGTTACAGATGGTCTCCCTCCCTGCTACACGTACATAAAGAACATAAAGTAAACAACACTAATTGACCTGTTATCTGCTACCTGCTGCCAAACGTTCACACCTCTGAAATTATCTAGGTCTGGAGTTTAGTGCTACTTCTTATAGGATGTGGACAAGGGACAGTTTTTTTTTGGGAATTACACAATCAGTGTAATGAATACTATTGGGGGGTGTTACAGTACGTCTCCAGGGCACACAGCTTCATTTTACCATCTTCATCACAAAATATAAAATAATTCCTTATATGCAAATTGATCTCTTAGAGTAATACCTGTTGATAACATTGACTCTGACTCATCCATGGAATTGATTTGCAACTGTATATGTTTCATTAAGATTTGTTTACGATTGCGAAATTGGACTAGATTTTAAAAATCAGGGGCTGTTCCCTCCACGAATCTGACCAGGGTAAGGAGACGTTTTTTTCTTTAAGTGGGAACAAGACTTATCATCAGCTGTATCTTTCAAAAAAACTGTTTCTCATAAGGAAAAAAAGAAACAGACATTTAAGACGGAGCCCATCAAAGTCATTAGAGCAGAGCCCCTTCTGTAGAGTGCCCCCACCCCCAGCTCTCCCCCCCATTGGGTACATTTCACATGGTTTAAGGTGGAAACCTGCTAGCTGAAATAACAATGTTAAGGGCATATGTCTTATAAAGTGTGTTGTTTAGCCTGTGAATAGTGTCTCTTTCTGTGTGAACGTTACCCCATTTTACTACTGCAAAAATAAATAAACCTGGCCTGCAGAATAAACAGGCCTGGTCTTGCCACAGATATTAGGAAAACATTGGAGAGATTTGCATGATGCGACACTTGGCTGCCTTTGCTCTTCAGGCCTGGCAGACATGCCCCTCCCTCATCACTGGCATTGTTTATGCCAGTGCCAACATCCTGGCAGCCTGGGACCCTCCCCACAACCCAGGGAGATACATTTACATGACGAGTGTACCCCATTGATTTGGTATATTTTTGCTACAGAACATCTGATTGGTCTGTGACACAAGACAGCAAAGCAAGGTGATTAGCATGTTTATCAGACCATTAGCCATTAGACTTCAGGTCATTAGTCCATCATATTCCCTCCATCCCCTGGAAACCAATTAAAAACCAAAAGACCAAAAGGACAAGACACACAAATGAAGTCCTCTGTGGGTCTGACTGGGAGGATGGAGTGAGCTAACCTTGGTGGACCTCGGGGAGACCCTGTAATGTAATGACCTCCCTTCTGACATGACTGTGGCTTTGAGCGTCAGTGACCCCAAGGAGAAGCTGCCAGAGTATGTTCTCACAGGTCAGGGCATGGCAGATGGAGTGGAGGTGAAGGCCTCAGTTTCTGGGCTGAAATCGGTACTTTATACGTAATTAAACAGAACTACTTTTATCTACACTGTTCAATAATGCCCTGTCAGACCTGATTTTAGGTTTTGTGCTGTTTAAAAGGTTGGCATGTTGCCAGCCTGGGAGATACCCCTCCATGAAGTTCCGCATCAGAAAGCAGAACATCTTGGAATGGGCAAGAAGGGCCAGCAGCTCCATGCAATGGTGCCCAGTGAAAATGCGAGTGGAATCATTAGAAGTAGAGAAATAGTGTAGGACCAAGCTGTGCTGAGGCCAGGCATATAAATCAATGAGGTTACTGACAAGCGAGTGCAATAGGCCAAACAGTCTCGTCATGTGATGCAACCTCCACCCTGCAAGGGGAGGCAGTGATACCACTTCTGAATCAAGGCAGGAAGCAGGTAGGGCTCAGCATCTCCCAAAGACAGACATTTGGGTGTGATTTAGATAACTGTGTACTTCAGATAGTAGTCTTTCATTTTGAATCACTGCAAATTCCACTGTGATAAAAACTACATTACCATAACACTGACAGGTACAGAGTTATACAGAGGGAGTCTGTCTACACATGCGCTGAAGGATGTTTATATGAAACATTTATTTCCATTGCTGGACTGTTATCTTCCGTCATATAGGATGCAGAAATGGAACCAGGAATTATGCAGTTACCCTAATGGTGATGAAGAGGGAGGGGCCCTGCACTAAGGTAGGAAAATAATGACTTCCCAACAAGTAGAGCTTTTCATTCTAAAACTCACAGCAGGACAGTCTTCCATTTCCATAATCATTCAATAATTACCCCATTTAAATTTTAGGGGACACAAGGGATCTAGTGACTATTTCATAGAGGCCTTCAAACCATCCAAAGAGAAGCTGTTAGGCAGGGAGCTCTCGAAAGGTGCCGAAGGTGTGAAGCTGACAGAAAGATCCCATCTGGGACATGAAGAGGAACGAAGCCTTCAGCACACTGTAAAAAGGGGCAGCTCTCACTAACTATTTGGGATCAGCAGACCGGCCTGTGACCCTCTGCTCATCAGTACAGATTTGGCCTGTATGTTGGGCCCAGACGGGGTTGAACTTGCTTAGAAAGTAGAGACACTCCAGGACTTGTGTTCACAATCAAGCTCTTTATGCCTCAGTATTATATTCATTATAATGTACAGAGGAAGGGACAACTCACAGGCAGCCAAAGGGGGAACTGAGATGGGGTTTTATTAATGAAAACAAAAAAAACACAAAAGGTAAAACCAAGGAACTGAGACCACCTAAGGGGGAAAGCTAGGCTAATACCAAAACACAGGAGACACTGCAAACAATACAGATGACACCAATGACCTGACTGGGGAGCCCAAGCCAAGCAGATGCTTGTAAATTACATGGACTAACGAAGGACAAACGAGATGCAGGTGATAACAATAGACAGCAGTGACCTCTGCTGGCCATATAGGAAAATGATACAGCTCCTGATAGTCATGCTTTTCATTTAACTCTTTATTTACATTTAATTGTATTTAAAAATTTCATGGCTTTCTGAAAAAAATCTAATGATAATTAAGGAATATTGGATATTTACTTACATCTGCTCAGTTCATAGAAGATCTCTAGTGTGAATATAACAACGGGTGGCATGACACCGACCCCTGACCGAAACATATGACTCAAGTGCCACCGAGTCTATGTCAGCATTAAGGAAAGTACTGATAGACATTTTTAAGGCTTTCAATCAGAATTATAAATAGCCCGGCATTCCTGATTATCTGTGGGAAACATCCCTGTCTGTATGTCTCTATCGTTAAATGCAAGGCTGCACACTGGTTAGTACCAGTTACTTCCACTCTTCCCTCACACCTTCAGGTTCTCCAGGTTTGGGTCCAAAGTTTGCACGTTCTCTGCATGTCTTGCAAACTCATACTGGTCATGTGGGCCTAGAGACTGTCCCAGGCAGCACAGGGCACAAGGCTGGGGTACACCATTGATGGGATGCTAGTCCATCACTGGATACTGTACATGTTTTCAGACTGTAAGCATACAGCAGGCTAAGCGGTGTAGATTGTCCATAGTGTCTGTGTTTGTGTGTGGTGTGAGTGTGTCTGAAATTATAAATACCGTTATTATAAATACCTGCCAAACTGAGCGAGGTGGATGTCGAGCCTGTACACCACATGCAGAATATGGCCTCCTTGTACTACAGATAGCAATAATGCTTGGAACCCCAACCATTGTGGGTAAACTACATTTATCTCTGACTGCCAAAAACCAGCAATGATCCAGTGTCTGACAGTACACAGCGGTGCCAGTTAATCACAGTCCCACACTTAGAATTTCTACAATAATAAACCCCTGCTGGACCTCACACAACAGGAACAAATGAACAACCAGACATGAGGCATGTACTGTACAAGACCTACAGGCCTCTATGAAACCAACTTAAAGGAGCAAACTATTCATTAGACACAAAATGATGTAATTTTCCAGGTGCTGGCCATGTGTACCTGACCTTGTCATGTATCTTCTTTAATTAAGCAACAATAACAATGAGATTCTCTTGA